CTTATTTTCTAATTCCACCAAAGCAATGAACAGAGTCATGAATGGACTTGGGACATTAGAAATGAAAGTGATAAAAATTCCATGTTTTTTTTATCTATCCACCAATAATGAACAATAACAAAAGGGATAGTGGGATTACCACATTCACCATGAATAATTTTTATGTATGCAGCCTTTTATTTCATATTCACACAACATTCAGACTACACTCAATGCCCCTTTAGTCCTCCCTTAAGCAGTTTTGCTCCTTGAAGACTGAGTGTGGTGCATTAAAACATGAAAGTACAATTTAAATAATACATGGGCACAATTAATGCTCAATATTTGATCCTAAGACCAATAATATATGAAACTCCCAACATAAAATAATTTCTTACATATATCTGTCTTAAACACAATTAATTAAATTAGTAGCACAAATACAATAAACTCTTTTTTGGTTAAGGAATACATCTAATTAATTTTATGCTTTCATTGTTCACAATATTCTCATCTAATAGTCAAGCGTGTGGTATATTGGTTTGAAGAATAAGATTCCACGACTAATGTGAAGCATATGCGCGATAAATGCATTCAATATACATTTTACATTCTTTTTCTGTCCTTTAGCACATTCTCCATCTCTATCAAACGTGCATTACAAAAGGAGAGACACTACACACTCCTACTCCTATTCGAACTAAAGAAATATACTCCTATTCGAACTAAAGAAATAGAGCAAGGGTAGAATTTATAGCCATGTGTCGATCCTTCTTAGAAAATCAAATGACTAAGCTGTCTCAAACTAAGCAATAAATAGAATTACACGTGTTATTAGTTGTATCAATAACACTTCTTCTATGCTTGATGCATTTATTTTTTCATCTAAATTTGTTATTGAAGCACAAATATGCACCAAAACAATTTTGAGTTTTATTGGGGGCTTATTTTAAAGCAGCGATGTCAACAAGATAAAGGAAGAGAGTAATGTCTGAGCTTGCAATGCCGAAACAAAAAAAATAGTTCTTTACACATTTAAAGTAAATCCCACTTCAAAATACACTCAATAAACAACCATACACAGCAAAACCTGTATCCCAAATTTATGCACCAAAATCCCTAAATGTTTATGATTCTGAAGTAAAAAAGTAAATCCTCACATGATTTCAGAGATCCCACAACCAACAAACTAATTGTTATGTGGGAGAAGTTTCTGGACAATCCGCTAAGACATTCATATGAGCCAAAGCACCATAATCAAGATTTTTCAAAACGTTATTCAGGTAGAACACAAACTACAAATAAATTAAATCTTTCAAAACCCATAATCAAATCGAACGAAAAAATGTGTAAATCTGTAAATAAGCAAATAAAATTCAAACAAATCAAAAAACAGAATACCTAAAACGAGGACACCTCAGTGTCACAGGAGTAGTAACTTCGCAGCTTCAATGACCCATGATTTTTTCTCCAAATACGCGATCCAAGGAGAACAGAAGCTGCAAATAAATGAAATATTTTAAAACCCATAATGAAATCGACGAAATATGTGTACATCCGTAAATAATTACAGGAAATTTCCACATACTACAAAGACGGAACAATAGAAAATGCACAAACCTATTAGATCGAAGATACAGGAGAGCTGGAGGTCGAGCTGTACGGAAGGACGATCTGAGTTCGACCACTTTACCGGAGGCGGAAGCGAAGGAAACCTAAGAAAGGAGAGGACACGAGCTTGCGAAGTGAAGCGATGCGATGAAAACGGTAACACGAAGAAGCTTAGGGTTTTCGTCCAGTACCGATGGGAAAGTCTGCGAGAGAGAGAGAGAGATGTCGAGAGAGAGATATCTTTTATTTGGGTTTCCTGCCAAAACGACGTCGTTTCAACCGGACGAAGTGTGAACAGTAATTGGAAAAGTGTCTCTTTTATTTGTTAGGGATTATGAAGCCCTCAATCCCCTCTTCAATTACCATGCAAACAACAATCCAATCATATACCAGAATTGATGAAAATAATCCTCAAAAATTGATTTGGCACAAATTGGTTTTGCTGATTCTTGAGAAAATCGAAGGTGACCCATGGT